AAAAGTTAGGAAGTGGAACTGTGGCTCAAGTGGTAGAGCACTAGCCTTGAGCTGAAGAGCTGAGGGACAGCACCCAGGCCCAGAGTTCAGGCCCCACGACCGGACCCTCCCCCCAAAAAAAACCTATTAAACTGGGTCCCATCCCCAAGATAAAATCTGAAAAATATTCAAAACCTGAAACATTTCTGATTCCAAACATTTCAGCTAGATAGTCATCTGAAGCCAGGCACCAGTGGCTCACGCCTGCAATCCTACCTCCTCAGGAAGCTGAGATCTGAGGATCGAGGTTCCAAGCCAACTGGGGTAGAAAAGGCTATAAGACTTATTTCCAATTAGCCACCAAAAAGCTGGAGGTAAAGTTATGGCTCCAGCCAGAACTTGAATGAAAAAGAAAAAGGACATCTTCTAAGCAGTGAGTTCAAGCCACAGGACCAATACAAAGCAAACAAACAAAACCCCTCATTTCCAGCTACCCAAATCAGATGGCTAAACCTAGTTGACTCAAACTAGGCGGGCATTTTGCAAGCAAACAAAAAGACCTTACTGTGTAAAGCATTAATAATCTGAGATGACAAGCTTAATATTTAATATCTCATAGCACAATCAATAGCTTCTCAAATCACCAGTCTTACATGCTCCATCCTCATGCAAAGGCTGCAATATTGTAGTGCAGGCAAAAATTGTTGAAAAGATCAAAGTTCAGCTGGGGCTGGTTCTCTAAGCAAAGAGGCTCCCATTCTACAAGCAGATTTTCTTCATTGCTCAATCAATTCCTGCTAGTGGAAGAATGAATTTGAGTGTGGAGCTCACTACTAACTGTAATTAAAGTTAACTCAAAGAAGTAGGGAGAAGAAATAAAGGAAGCAAACAACTTTTGAGAAATATATCGAAATTCCTTTAAAAATTGCTTTTTAAATTTTATGTCAGTCCTGGAGCTTAAACTCAGGGCCTAGGCACTGTCCCTGAGCCTTTTGTGCTCAACGTTAGCACTCTACCACTTGAGCCACAGCACCACTTCTTGCTTTTTTCTCATGTGGTGCTGAGGAATCGAACCCAGGGCCTCAAG